CTGGGGCGAGATCGACCGACTTCCGGCCAGGCCGTTGTCTGGGTGGCGCGGTCGAGTCATCGGCGGGCCTCGCCGGCTGGATCTCCCATCCCTCCCCCCACCCCCCGCGCGGGGGGTGGTCGACCCGCCAAGTGGGGCAGGAGGCGACTCGGACCGTCCTCATCGTTTCGTTCTGCCCAGGTCACGGGCTACCCGCGCTGGGTCCTGGGGTCCTTGGGGCCCGCGAGGCCCGGTCTGAGAGGCCGGGGCCTGCGTGGGCCCGCCGCCGGGCCCCATGAGGCACAGCCTGACCAAACTGCTGGCGGCCTCGGGCAGCGACTCCCCGACACGGAGCGAGAGCCCGGCGCAGGCCGCCACCTGCTCGCTGCCCCCGGACTTGACCCGGGCGGCAGCGGCGGCAGAGGAGGAAGAGACGGCGGTAGCCAGATCTCCGGGCCGTGAGCAGCTGCGCGGCGACGAGGGCGAGCTGGAGGCCGGTCGGGGGGGCCGCGGCGGCGCGGTCGTGCGCGCGCCCTCGCCGGAGGAAATGGAGGAGGAGGCGATCGCCAGCGTCCCCGGGGAAGAGACGGAGGACATGGACTTTCTGTCCGGGCTGGAACTGGCGGATCTGCTGGACCCCCGGCAACCGGACTGGCACCTGGAACCCGGGCTCAGCTCGCCCGGGCCTCTCTCCTCGTCTGGCGGAGGGTCGGATAGCGGCGGCCTCTGCAGAGGGGACGACGACGACGAGTCCGCGGCCGCCGAGATGCAGCGCTTTTCTGACCTGCTGCAGAGGCTGTTAAACGGTATCGGAGGCGGCAGCAGCGGCAGTGACAGTGGTAGCGGCGAAAAGAGGCGGAGAAAGTCCCCGGGAGGCGGCGGCGGCGGCGGCGGCAGCGGCAACGACAACAACCAGGCGGCGACCAAGAGTCCCCGGAAGGCGGCGGCGGCTGCTGCCCGTCTTAATCGGCTGAAGAAGAAGGAGTACGTGATGGGGCTGGAGAGTCGCGTCCGGGGCCTGGCATCCGAGAACCAGGAGCTGCGGGCCGAGAATCGGGAGCTGGGCAAGCGCGTGCAAGCACTGCAGGAGGAGAGTCGCTACCTACGCGCCGTCTTAGCCAACGAGACCGGACTGGCTCGCTTGCTGAGCCGGCTGAGCGGCGTGGGACTGCGGCTGACCACCTCGCTCTTCAGAGACTCGCCCGCCGGGGACCACGACTACGCGCTGCCGGTGGGAAAGCAGCAGCAGCAGGACCTGCTGGAAGAGGACGACTCGGCGGGAGGAGTGTGTCTTCATGTGGACAAGGATAAGGTGTCGGTGGAGTTCTGCTCGGCGTGCGCCCGGAAGGCGTCGTCTTCTCTTAAAATGTAGGGTCAAGTAATCTGCTCTTTATCCGCGTTTACCCCTTTCAGCTCCCTTACACCATGTAAAACACCTTAGTGGGACATCTTCACTGGACACATTTCAGAGGAGGAAGGAAAAAAAAAAAAGTAATATTGAATCTTTAAGTGTTTAGCTAAAAGCATGAATGTGACACTGTAACCAACTCCTAATGATAACATGTGACTATTAAATCTCTCTGACAGTTTCTTTTTTAGGTGATTTCCTTCCTGCCAGGCTCCGTTGTAGGGGTTACAGAGCAGTCGTTCCCGCCTCACAACCTGGTAAGGATCCATCTCTTCACGTAACGCTCATGCTCTGCTGCTTAGTCTACTTTAATGGGCAACATCTCAATTTGTGTGTGTGTGTGATTTTTTTGTTTGTTTCTTTTTTGGAAGGTGGGAGGGGAATCTAATTTGGGCCCTGTCCACCCTGGAAACAGACTTGTGCTGGTCAGTCATGTATTTAAGATGCTTCTTCTGGTTGAAATAGCTGTTAATGTGTCCCCTTGTTCAGACTTGCGTGTACCTAGCTCTTCTGTCCCCAGTGTGGACATGGCCTTGGATGACATCGATTCCAACTGTACACTGAAAGCTGCTAATAGAAATACAGTTTGGAGACAGTGAAACAGGTGAAGTTGAATGGAAGTTCCGAGTTGTACAAGGTGCAAATTGGAATTCCAGTGTTAGAGCAACTTTTCAGAGGTTGACAAATAAGTGTTTGGGGCATGCACACGTGTGATAGTTATTTTGCTGGAGATGACAGAAATCTCTTAAATATTCAAGAATGCCTTTTAGTTTTCAGTAGAAGATGTAGAAGTACAATATTCAGATTAACAGATATCTCACCATTAGGAAAAATTTGGAAATTAACATGCATATCAGACTCCTGTGTTAGTTAATAAGAGGAGGAATAAGAATGGTTACATGAAATGTTTCTTTGAGAACCAGCACAGTGATTAACCCTATCACTGAGTATGAATAAATTGTTGAACACCTTTATTTTTGCTGTATTAAAATTTTAGGTTAAATTTATGTAAGATTTTGAAGGTTGTGAAATATGAATGAAAACATGTAAAGTGAGGCTTCACAAAGAATCTTCTTTCAAAGATATTTGTCCTATTTAAAATTATTTAAAAATAATTTTTAAAATTGAGTGGTTCTGGCTACTTAATGACACGATTGACACTTTTCCCAAAGATGGGACATATTCTTTTGCAGTATTCTGTTATCCATTGTCTAATTGTATAGCGTCATGGTGTCCTTCAGTGTAAGAGGCAATAAATTCTTTGTGAAACATCACTGTCTGATAAAGTATATACGTATTTAGCATCCTTGTTTTTCTTTGTGCTAAAGTGGATACAGCTGTTGGGGCAGAAGAGACGGGACCAGCTGCTGGCCACATTTCCTGCTTTATTTTAAAAGGTAGTATAAGAAATGAGGAAAAAGAGGTAATATCAGGGCTTCTGCTGTCTTTTATTTTAAAATGTTCATAATTAAAAAGTATTTTCCAGCAGTCCAAAGATGTAAGTTATCTTACACACGAAATGTTTTATTTTGTTGTTATTTGATTATGAAAATGGAATCCTTGTTCTTGCACAACTGTAAATGTTTTGTTGCTAGATAATACGATTTGAGACCTAACTTGGTCTCTGGTTTCCAGTGCATCACAGCATATTTTGTAAAATCTTCTATTGCACTTGAGCATGAATGGGTAGTAGCCAAACTCACAACCTGGAGTGATGAACCTGCTTATACCTAAGTGCAGGAGCAAGCCCCTCACAATGCAGCTGCATGGATTTTTAGTGCCTACTGAATTAAATATATAAACCAAAAGTAGTTGGAAAAATTATTTGAAATGACTAATTTGTGCTATCTTTATGGAATATGTTAAATGTAGCTTTTTGAAAAGAAGCCTTGAATTGAAATTTAATTAATACTTGAACATTTTGTATATATTTCTTTGTATATAATTTTGTGCAGTACCAATGACAAAAATATGGTGTCATAATAAAACCAGGTTTGTTGATCTTTCAGTTATGGGCTCAAAGAATTTATTCATCTCTATCATGACTTTGGAAAATAATGGATGAAAATAGGAAAAATGATAGTTGTTAATGCTGACTGTGGGTCTTAAAAGGTTCTGGAAGCAGTAAGTGCGTTTTTCTAAAAATTATACCACTCCTTGGCATATTTTCTTCCTAACGGCAGTGCTTTTCCTGCATTATTTGAAGTTTGGGGCTGGGGAGAAACAGTAGTCAAAGCTTTCTGATTTGGGATGCTTTGAAATTCCAAGCGTAGATTTTTAGAATGTCATTTTATAAATGGCAGTTTTTGGAAATACTTGATTAAGAACTTTTGAAAATGGAGATTAGTATCACCTATTTTTAAAGCTGCTTTGTTAGGTTCCTTATGTTTTAACTGTCTTTTCTTAGTTTCCATTTCATTTTCTTTTTTTCCCAATTTTGGTGACTCCGTGATTTTGTCATTTTTTACATCAACTTCATGGTCTTGTTTTTACATGGTATTGCATGTATTTAGGACCTATCTAACAGGGGCTTTAAATAAATTTGGTCACATTTATGTGTAAGCACATTTTACTGTAAATGTTTTGAGTTTCTGAATTTACAATAGATCTGTTTATTTCAGTATGTAGTAAAATATCTTAAAAGTGTCCTATTCACTACTTGTTAATTAAAAAAGTTATGATTAATATGAAACTGTTGTCTTACTATTTTTAGAAAATTGTGTTCTGGTGGATAGTTGCATAAAGGAGATTTCTGGAATATAATATAGATTGTTTTGAAATTTACAGGTTTGGCTTTATTTACTATAATGGAAAAACACAACTTAGTATTTGGGGAACCTTTTTTTCCCCTAATTTAGCCACTATGGCAAAATGTTATAGAACTAAAGATGTAGCTTTTTAATGTCTTCTGATGGTGACAGCAATTCATACATTAATTGAACTAACATACATCATATTGACCTATTTCTATCATATTGACTTTACTGTTTCTGCACTTCCTTGACCAGACTTAACGAAAATGTCCACGTTTGTTAAAATATAGTCACACATTTGTCCTATAAGCCGACAAAAAGTTTTCAAAATATTTTAAATATTTGTGCATTTTATAATCACTAAATTAATCTCTCTCTCTTCTCTTTAAACAGCTTAGCAGTGTCTGCAAAAAGGAATCTTTTCCTACAACCTGTTAACTGACTGGACTGATGGTAACAAAGTAATTGTGGGAGCCATGTCGGTCAAAAATTTGGCATCTGCTGAAAAAAATGAATGCCATTTTCAAGTTCCCAAATTACTTCTATACTGGTTTCACTTTCCAGAAATGGAGATATGAAAAGATTCTCTGGAATCCTTGAAAGACTTAATAGAAACATATGAGACTAAGTTAATTTTGGAACAAAATTATACTTTTTTTTTGTCTTTCATGGGAGTGATACTCAGTTCTTTGCATACCTTTTAAAAAAATTGTAACCATTGGAGAAGAGAATTATAGTATTTCATCAAGGAGTACTAGATTCATTCTTACATAATCAAGAGCACATTCTATGGAATTATATTTAGTAGAGTACAATCACATAAACAAGCCATCAGTGATCACAAAGCATATCATGAGTTTGTATTTATTTCCTGGAACATGAGAGAGAATCTGAAGTACAGTCAGAGCTTGCCGAGTAGAATATGAAAGTAATGTAAAGTCCTTAGCTATAAAGGGTTAGTCTTTTTAAATAGATGCATTGACTTGTATATCTTTGAAAAAGTTGATTTATGACTAAATGTGTGGTTGGTTAAATGCAATTCAGAGTAATTACAGGATGTGTGGATTTCTGAGGATTTGGCTTGTTGAGCTTTCTCTGAGTATTTGACTTTTTTTTTTTTTAAATAATTTGAGCTTCCTAATGAAGGGTATAATAGTTTCTACTGTTTTATATAAATTAAAATTTTTTTAGTGTTATATAAGGGCTTTAGTATTCTGGATGATGGGCATGGCTTTTTTTCATGGAATACGGTTGTTTTACTTAATTGAAACGGTTTTCCAGTTTATTACAAGTGTGAAAAAAACACTCAAAACTCTGCATTGTTTTATTTCATTTTTGTTGGATTATGTTAATACATTTTTTTCACCTGGTCTAAACTGAGCCATATTATCTTACCTTTGGGAAGCATGCAGATGATAAAAGTGGGAGGGGGTAGGAAGATAGGCTGTTTTTTCTTTCCAGAATGATTCATTATAATAATGATATAGATTGATTTTATTGTATAGTATTATACGAAATTTATTAAATCCACTCAGTTTCTTGTAATCTAAGTGTATTCAGTATTTGTGATGCCTGGCAGCAAAGAGCATTCTCAGTGAATTATACTTGAGTGACTGATGGGTGCTCCTACAAACAATACAGTTGGTTGGAATTCCACAACCAAAGATTAGGCATCAACGCTATTTGGTGACCATAAATAACTACCGCTTTGATAGAACAGAGTGGATCTTTTAAAAATATATGATTACTAAGTTCAGCATTTTGAAAGTACAGTTTAAGGTCTTACCAACTTAGGTTTTTAAGCTAAGTAATCTGATAACTAGGTAATAAAATGTTTTCAAGTTTTTAGGTTTTTTTCCCCAGACTCATAATCAGTACCAAGTTTTGAGACCCTCTTAAATGTTTATATTTTTATGTATTATCGTGCTGTTTTTTCTCCGGAAACTAGGTATTTACCACCTAAGTCAAGAATCAAAAAGGACGTCTTTCATCAGAAACTCGTAGAGTGTTTTGTTTGGCCAGCACAGTATTTTTCATCTATCTCAACTTGCAATACATTAATACTCTGTCCACCAGTCACTCCCTCGTGCATTACAACAGACTGAACTCTGAGCTCTGACCTGGATTGCAAATGGTCATTTACATTCAGTTTTGAAGTGCAGAAAAATTAAACGAGATATTTTAAATTTTACTCAGAAAGTAAATTACTTGGTCATTAGGAACATAAATCATGTCTTACTTGGAGAAAATTTCTTTTAGATAATAGGTTATTAGAAAATTGCTCTTTCTAACTTGCCTTTTGCATTGCTTTGGTTACTAAGTGTTTTTATTCCTAGTTTTTTTACCTTCCCTCCCAACTTGTATATTCAAGATTTGTTACTTAGCTCTTTCCCCCACTTTTTAAAAAGAAATCAGTTCACAGCAGACTTTAATAATTTAAAAATTTTTGTTGACCCAGTTACTTGTTTTGTTGAAAAAATTTTGCTCAATTTTTAGTTAATCTAATTTTAAAATCTATTCACTAATGGTGTTTTGAACATATGCATAGATATGAATTTTATTGGTGGGCCAGCTTCCTTTAGAAGGTGCTTCCAAACTTGCTCTTCCCTGTATACCCACAATTTCCTAGACCCCTCTGGTTTTTAGTGTACTGTAGTTGGGGGTTTTATAAATTATATTACTATTTTAAGTATAATGTAATATGGAACTTTTTTTTAAAGCCAAATAACTATACAAAGTAAATTTTAAAATACAGATTTAAATAGATCGTTTATTGTCACTGAACAGAAAAAACTACAAGCTATTTTCCTGACTGAGGCAGTGTTCTTTAGGTCTGAGCTACAAATGACTTGCCTTAAATTGTAATGCAGGTCACGGCAGGTTCACATGTCACTTACTTGCCTCCTGACCATAAATTTTGGCAAAGTAGATTTATAACAACAGATTTAAAATAACATGCTCTTTTGCTTACATTGTCTGTTCCTATTAATTGAAAAGACGATTTAAGAAATACATGGTGTAAAGGAAAGATATTAGATCCTGAAACCATTGTAAACTCTCGTATCCACTTATAATTATGCTAGGGAGTAATGTGGGAATGTTTAAGGATAAATAAGGAAACAATTTGTACCAATCAGGTTAGTAATATATATTTGGATTATCCAAGTTTATACCATTCTCTATTTTTAAGGAGTCTAATTTAGTAATTTTGGTTTCTTAATTTTTGAAGTAAGGAATTTTAATTCATTGTTTTCTTCACTGTGATACGTAGAACTCTGCTTTAAATAAAAATGAGAGAATGCAGATAAAATGTACAATTTTGGGTCAGAGAGGTTTTGTCTTGATATTTTAGCTTGTAAAATAGGTAACTTTTTCCCTCCTTTTATAAGGAGAAAAATTGTGTATTTTTTTCCTAGTTATAAAGTGAAGCATATTCATTACGGAAAACTGAGAAAATAAGACAAAAAGAAAAATCACCCCTAATTCTATACTCCAGAGAATATCTACAATAAAACACAGATGCTTTTGCCTTGTAAGTGGGATAATTTCTTGTGTAAGTTTGGTAGGAAATACATTTTCAAGTACCTGTTGAAAGAACAAATCATCTTTGTTTGCTCTCTGAAAAACTGAAAATGTATTTTAATTTCACTTGAATTTTAATCTTCAGCTGCACTTTTTTCTTGAGACATTGAAAGCCTATTTCACTTGAGGTGCCTTTTCTAGGTTACAGGCTATATTCTCCTTTTCATGTAAGTTTAAGTAGCATAAGATTAATTGTCATTGTATTTGGAAGGAATAGTTAAAGATGCTTGTGAATATGACCTGTGATGTCACTTAATATTTTGTTTGGTGTTACTGGCTTGTTTCGTTAAGAAAAGTGTTGGTCTAGATAGGTGCTGTCCAATCATGTAGCCACATGTGGCTAAAAATTTAAATTAATTAAAATTCAGTTATTCAGTTGCATTAGTCACATTTCAGGTGCTCAGTAGCCATGTATGGCTAGTGGCTAACATTGTCAGTCAGATATTAAACATCAGAGAAAGTGCTGTTGGACAATACTGCTTTAGATGCTGTCACAAAAGAAAATGCTTTAAAGAACTGAGGTGAAACGTTTTAGGAAGGGGAACACAATGGGACACTTCTAAAATTTACATGATCTAAGGAAATGGATAGATAAGGATATTTCAGAAAACAAAACCAGGTGCAACAGGAAGAATATGGCTACCATTTGAGTGCCTGCTATGTCAGGTGGTGTTAGGCAAATTACATGTTATGTAATACTATTTGAGTGGTTAATGATGACCAATGAGGGCCAGAGAGGCTTGTCAAATTGCTTAGCATCACACAGCTTAAAAAAAAAAAGTTTGAATCTGATTCCAAAGTATCCCACACTAGATGGAAACTTCAAATAATTATTCTCAATCTTCTAAGAATATAGCTTTACAAAGATATAAATAAGGTGGCCTTTGAAGTATGTAACTATCATGAACTATCTCTAAAGAATACTGGAATTCCTCTTTTCAGGAAGTTTATGTTCTTAGAGTCTAGGGATTAATAATACCCATGAATTGGGAAAAGGAAGTGTAAGTAACATTTGCTGTACTGTACTGATATAATCTCACCCCCACCCCCACCTTCATTCCTGTTGGATTCTTTGAGGTCTTCATTGTAAACTGCTCTATGGTTATTTTTTCCTGTGTTAAAAGATCAAACTGGGGCCGGCCAAGTGGCTCAAATGGTTAAGAGCTCGCTCAAGAGCACTGAGCAACAGTGCTTATATGCCCGGCTCGAGCTGAGCTGCCGCTGAGCTGCCAACAGGTGGCAGGATGGCTCAGCTTTAAAAAAAAAAAAAAAAAAAAAAATCAGACTGCCTAATGTAAAGGAATAGAGCAAGTGAGGTGGAAGAGACAATATTGGGCAAACTAGAGAAGTTATGCTCTTGTTTAAGTGGGTAGCCTTTATTGGTATTCAGCCTTTTGTTGCCCTGGGTGGCATTTTGTTGTAGGTCCCAGAATTGTACCTTGTGATAAATTAGAAGTGTATGTTTACTCATACATTAGACAAAGGTAATTTTTACAGGTTTATTTTTGTGTATAGATTTGCTTAACAATCACTGAATTTCTAATCCAGGTTCAGGCAACTGAAGAGCCTTTATAAGTAGTTTATATTGTCTAGAACCAAGGTATGCTGCAAACCCCGTCTGGAGCAAAATGGGAAATAACATCTTTCTAAAGATAGGCTTAGAAATTCTGATCCAGTAAGTTAAGATGTTTCCTTTCTCTGGTAGCAGGGCTGAGGAATACCTG